TTGTTTGTTTGGATTTTTAGGTCATAGCATGTGTCAAATTGTGACTAGGATAGTGGCAAACTAGGTAATTGTGCTCCTCTTCTTTAGAGGCCGAGGAGGCTTTTACCTCTTTATAACTTGGCTATCTAACTACGGCTCCTCGACCAGGAGTGATTCGGTCAGGCACTTTCAAAGCTTATGGTGGATTTATAGTTTGCAGTATTTGTTTAAGGGCCTATATCTGTTTGGTCAAAACTTAGAATTGTTCCATGGTTTGGCCAGTTTGTAGTGGGGCAAGTCAATCTGAGTCTTAGCTATTGTACGTTTCCTCTAGACCTGGATGACGATCTCTCCTTTCTCTAAAGTTCTTTTCCTAGGTGACATTATTTCGTACTCGGTTAGTAAGTGAAAAAGGTCCCCTAACCTAACATGCCAAATGTTGGTATTGAGCTCTGATCCCAGGATATACCTGAAAAGATAGAAGAGAATGACATTTAGAGGTAAATGCAATGAGTGTTCCCCGTATTTACACTCTGACGTGCAAGTTATAATAAATGAAGTAAAAAAGAGAATAGTAAGCAGAATTAAGAGTAGGTTGAACTTGCCTCGATGATGATTGGACATTCATATTTATAGATGAAAGATACTGAATCATCGAAGGACAATAAGGACACGATTGAGCTGATATGACTCTGAGTATGTCATGTCAAGTTGGCACAAATGTCAGAATTACCCCTAGCTGTCTGTTGAAGGCTTTAACAAGGAAAGAAACCACTATACCATTTTAACTATCAAATGCCCCCAACAATACAAAAATAAAAATTATTTTTTAAGAATACAAAAATAAAGAAATAAATAAAATATTTAATGATATTACTATTAATGGTATCCAATTATAAATATAATATATATTTATTAATTAATGATATTAAAAGTATTCAAATATAATAACTTGCAAAACATAAGAAAAAAAAGTAATGTATATCTTTTGCTTTCACAATTGAAAACATTTTTTTTATTTTCATATTTCAACCCATTATTATTATTATTATTTTGAATATTTGCTTTCATTTCTAATTACCAAATATGTTTTCACTCATTTTTTTATTTTTTGAAAAAATGAAAACAAAAAATAACTATATTTTCTAAAACTAAATACTACCTAAGTTTTAATTGTTGATAATTTACATACACTTTTCAAGAAAAATGATGTTGTAATCAGTATTGAAATATCTTAAGAAAGAATTGAACAAAAAATAATATGCATGTTGTGGAATTATTAGAAGTGGAATTGACATACCTTTATTAAATTGTGATATATAGCTATGCAGACTATTTATGATAGATGTGTGTTTAGTAATTATAGATATAAGGATATTTATACTAATATTAGCTGGTGAGCCTTTTTTTTTTTTTTTAATTTAGATGATTAATTAGTTATTTGTGTATACCTTTTATGGTCACTATGGTTCTACACTTGCTGTTAAATTCTGAACTTAAAGACATTCTTTGAAACAAATCAATTTTATGGTCTTCAATCCCATAACTTTTTTTTTTCTTATGTATTAATTTAATCATTTTTCATTTTCATTTGTTTATTTACTTTTGCTTTGAGGTGTGAGGAGATTTTGAAAAATGTTTTGCATACTAGATGGATGGATTTTTAGGATATTTTAATCATGGATGCTTTCTCACATTTCTTAACAAATTCAAAATTTTGATTCTTTTACAAATTTTCTTTCATTAATTAAACTCAATACTTTTATCCCTACATGTGAATTGTGATGTTATTATTCACCCTCTTTTGCTTCTCTCCTTTTTATGTTTTTAGTAAATCATGTAGAAAAATTTACAACTTTGACCTAATATTTACTAAAACCATGTCCCAAAGTGTAGTAAATTTTCTTTAATTTATTTTTGAATTTTGAATTTTGAATTCCTTTCATTTCATTCATCTATTGCTTTTTTTTTTTTATCATAACTAGTTTCTTACCCACATTGGGATTTTTATATTTATGATATTATTTAATTTAGTTCATTAAATTCTACATAGAAATTTTTTTAATTTTGTTTTTATCATTAAATATTTGTATCTTCTCTCTTTTTATTTTTAATTAAATTTATGTATTAACGTTAAAATTTTTATTTGATTTTTAATTTCATAAATTGAAAGTACAAAATTTCCAAATTAAAAATATAATTTATCAACAAATTTTCAAATAACTTTTTGACCTTCATCTTTAATTTAGAAAAGTATATTAGTAAATATTTAAGACATTGAAAATTTTAATTAAATTCATTTCATAAATTTGATTGCATAATTGGTAAAATTGAAAATTTTGCTATATAAAAAAAAGATTTACATAAAATCTAAATGTAGTAAGTGTTTGTAGATCCTAGAAAATTGTAAGAAAAATTTATAATTAACATAAAATGCAACTGAAATTTAATAATAAAGGTGATCAGGAGAATAAAGGAGTTTGAAATTGAAGAAAAAAATGTGATTTGGGAACTCAAACCAAGAAAAATTCATCAGATTTTAAACCATTCCTCAATTCCCTAAATATTTATTTTCTCCATGCATACATGTACCCATAATTAGAAAATTCCATTCATTAAAAAAAAAGAATGATAAAAAAAAAACTTCAATATTTTAATCACCAAAATAGAATAGAATTTAGAGTAGTAGCAATAAAACTAATATATGCTAAACAAAAAATTACATGAAAATCAAGAAATGAAAAACTTTTTTAAAAATAAATCACATACAGCAAGGAAATAAAAAAAAAAAAGCTTCTTCTTTTTTTTTTTTTTTTTTGTAAAGATCCATTGTTTATTCTTATCGATTGTATAAATCATTGTAAAAATAAAATAAGAATAGGAAATTTTAAAACAGAAAATAAAGTTTTGAAAAAAAATGAATGAAAAAAATACTTTTAATAAAGAATTTGAAAAAAAGCGCGAATGAAAAGAGTAGAGAAAAGGGTTTTGGATAGAATAGAATAGAAACAATTTATTATATTTTCAATTCTACATAAAGTATTTTAAAATATAAATAATTGAATATGTTTTTATCCATTTATTTAAAGAGATTTTTTTTTTATTATTTAACTGAAGATTTAAAAAATGTTCTGAGATAGATATTTTTAAGTCCTTACACCAAAATTTTTAAATAAGAATTCATGCACACTCTTATAAATTTAAACAAAATTTAATATTTTAAATGGATTTGAATAATTTTAAATAAAGTAAATAATCATAAATCCTTTTATCTGTTTTCAAATTAATATTTGAATATTTATTATTTTTTAATGATTAGTTTAAAAATTTTTTATATTTGATTATTTTGATAATACATATTATAATTATTTATTATTATCTTATATGTTATCCAAAGAAACATGTCTAAATGTTCACGTAAACAAATTTTATCAGGATTGTATGTATATTATAATATAATATTATATATGATGTCTTTCTTTTTATGATTGTGAGTTAAGTAATTAAGGAAACTATATTGAGGATATGAATAATTAGGTAAAATATCTTTTTTTTTTTGTAATATTTTTTTACTATAGTTCATTAATATAATTGCCTACATAAAGCAGGCATAACTTTTATATATATATATATATATATATATATATATATATAAAACATGTTAGGATGGAAAAAGGAATGCGTTTTTTTTTTATTTTTTTATGTTAAAATTTTTTATTAAGAGAATGATACAATTTCTATATATATACACATATATAAATATATACATATATATATATATATTACTGTCAAATTTATAATTTTTTTTATGTTAAAAGAAAACGTGAGTTATATATGATACGGTGATTCCGAATGAACAATAAACTACTCCAAATTTACATTTTTTCACTAAATAATTATAAGCTTCTCATATCATTTAACTATTTTCATTCGATTATTTAATTTTTAAATATTTTTAAAAATTAAAAATATACTTATCCAATTCTTTCAACTTATATAATAGTTTTATATTAATTTAAATAATATATAAGACATTTCAAAAATAACTATTTCTCAAACAAGAGTAAAATTCATTAAGAAATTAGTAATTATTTTACTTTTTTAATTTAAAATAAAAAAAATTATGTTTCGTTTAAAATCACATACATCTACAAATTTAAAAGTTTTTTTTTTTTAATCTTATCACTTATAATTTATTAACAATCACTATAATTTTCTCATTAGAGGAAGGTCAGAAAAACCTTTTTAAGATATTTTTGTTTTGACCTTTGCGTCTAATCAATCTCTCAAATATATATATATATATATATATATATATCCACAATTATCAAATCTCTTCTTTATTATTCCAGGACTTAAGATGTAATTTGACAACATTTTTCTATTGTTTCCTTTAACAATATTAAATATTATATCTAAATTTTTTTTTTGCTCTACTTTGATTCTGAACTTGCAAATATTCTTGCTCATGCATTACAGAATTGATAAATAATGAATCATAGTTTTTTTTAAAGCAATTTGGGAAAATAAAATTTCTTGAAAATTTTATTTAACATGTTTGTATTATTTCTATTTTAAATAAAATTTGGACAACGCAAATGAAAAAAAAAAAAAGAGTAGAAAATTGTTACAATTGCTACTATTACATTTTTAATTTTAATAATTAATATTTTTAGTTAACATTCACATTCTTTCATAATTATCTCAATTTTAACAAATTGAGTACCCAAGACTATTACATGTATTTTATATATACGTTATACATGTAAATTAAATAATGTTTATTTATGTATTTACACATATTTAAATAGATAAAATTAATTCATACATCAAACGATCACTAGCTAATTTGAAAAATAAAATTAAAATCACTATGCTTTGAGAATAAAGATTTTAAAATACTTTGGTTTTACGGAAAACAACTCTTGTGATTATAATAATAACAATAATAATAATATTATTATTATTATTATTATTCTTATATGTTTGTATATTGAGATAAATACTGAAGAGAAATTAGACTGTACCTCCAAAAAAAAAGTTGAGGAACCAAAAGTAGAAGGTGAATAAAATTAAAGTTTAGAAATAGAAAGTAGTAATTTACAGGATTTTCTTGAGTTACTCCATGGCCATGTTCATCCAATACATGCTCTCAAAAAATGACATAAAATGACAACAAATGTCTTAGCACAAGTATTGGACGAAGAAAGATCTTTAGAGGAGCTTCACTCACATAAACAAACATTAAATGAGAAAGTAATTCACCATAACAAAGTAGAAGCATTTGCAGCCGGTGGTTTAACACTCTTCATATGAAGAATATGAGATTGAAAGATCTAGAAAATGAGGAATAGAAAAATGCCTAAGGCGCAGATACTTAGAATGAATAAATATTTTTTTGTTTTTGTTTTTGTCGGATCTGATCAGCAAAAAGATGATGGTGCAAAAACACCTTCAAGAAATGGTATATGTGAAATAGTTTCACACCAGCTGGTCACTAACACTGGTAGTAAGTAGGTTTTGTAGCTAGAAGATGCTGAAGAAGGCAAACTTTTATAAGAAACAGTCTAACCAGTAAGACATCACACTTCCCCAGCTCTCATATTGCCTCTTTTTATTGAAAACAGATGCAGCAATAGATTGAACTTGGAGTCTCCTCTAAAAACCATGCATCTTTTGGTAGAAATAAAACTTAAAAGGTATCCTTACCTGAAAATTTCACTCCAAATATTAACTTGATATAGTCCAGATGGAGGCTATCCTTCCCTTGCTCTCTACACCCTTTCATTAGGAATCTCGGCAGAAGCTATGATAGAAATGTGTGAAGGATTCACAGAGTAAGAATATTAGAATGGCAAAAGAGTTTTTGCGAAAAGGAAACTCAACTTTAATTAATTTTATTTGCATTCAATTTGAATTACATTAGAATGGAAATCTGTATCCATACACTCCACCTCTTAAAAATAAGAGAGATAAGAACTACTCATCCCATATCACCAAAGCAAAGATAGAATCAAAATAAAAACTAATCGTAATGATATGAACATCTAAACTGCTAAAGCCTTAGAAATTAAATAATAATAATAATAATAATAATAATAATAAGAAGAAGAAGAAGAAGATAAAAAAAAAAAAAAAGAATAATCCAACATACCAAGCTTCACTAAGCGTTGATTTCTAGCAAAGATTGCTGCCACCTTTTGCTGTATCTACATAACTCTAGAACCTGCTACGTGGGGACATAATGCCTAGTTTTTTGCCTGTAGCAATTCTCTTATTTGTAATGAAATCCTAGAATTTGTAACTTTAGTTTAGTTGTATAAAATCCGAACTCTCAAAATAATTAACCACAAACTAAATATAAATGAGCCATAACAAATTCCTTAACTGTTTTTCAAACTAAAATGTTACATCAGTAGTAAGAGCATAAACTGGTAGTTGATAATTCATTTCACAAGCACACCCAAAGAAGAAAAGCTGAAACATATTAGAATATAAAAAGAAAATCATAATAAAAGATAGAAACTTGAACAGTTAGCCTAATGTCGGATGCATGTTGATGCCAACATGTGGACATAAACCATACATAATAAAGGACACAAAGTACAGACAACTAAACAATATCGTTTCAATTTTTTGAATCTCTTTAAAGCTAAGGAAGGGCATCATAAATAAAAGGTAGTACAGCAAAGTTCCTTGAGTAATGACAATAAAAATTATTTTTCATTCTGTTTCATGCAATGTGCAACAGCACAAAGAAAAATAAGGTGAGATACAGATTTAAAATATATATTCCACATAATCAATCAATTAAAGGCCTCAAACATATTCATTTTTCTACAAAGTCAAAAAGACATTCTAAACGTTATGAAATTCAAATACTAATGAATACCTGGGCTGTGGTTTTATCAACAAACTGTTAGACTAACAGTTTGGGAAACGCCGTTGGATCAAACCCTTTCCTAAACATCTCCTCTACCCATCCGTGAGCCTCAGCTCTCCTCCCTTTTCTGAGGAGAGCACGTATTATGATCTCATAAGTCCACTGATTTGGCACATAGCCCTTCTGGCATATCCAATCATACATCTCAAAACCATGGCCCACGTTGCTTACACTTAGTTTCGTCAATAACACATTGTATGTGTAGATGTCAAGTGGGAAACATTGTTCAATCATTTCTACCAGGCTCTCTATATCTTGGTTCACTTCGACACAGCCAGAAAACATTCCAATGAGTTGGCCAAGCAACGAAATATCTGATGTTGTCTCATCTTGCACTTTTATCAATTGAATCCAGGCCTCATACAGCTTTTTACTCTTAAAAGAATTTAACAAAAGTATGTTACCAATAAAAGATGTAACTTTACCCCTAGTTTTCTCCAAGTCATTAACAAGTTCTACAACCAAACCATAGCTTTTCTTCCAGCACAGCAGCTGTATAAGATATTCATAACATGCCGTACTTGGGAATAAATTATTATCCCTCATTTCCCTCATGAAATTCAATGCATAATCTGCCTTGTTGGCTTTGCAAAGACCAATAATCATGGAACTATAGAAATTTCTCCCTATACTTCTTCTCTGGCGTACATCACCAAAGAAGTTTATAGCATCAGATATTCTGTCATTCTTTAGGTAACTATACAACACAAGACTGTTGGACCTCTGATTGGGCTCAATCCCGCTTCTTTGCATAATCTCATACACTTCTCTAGCTAGTTCAGGCTTTTTGGCATGACCTGCTCCATCAATGAAGAAGTGAAAAATATGAGAGCTAGGTTTAAAATGAGACAACTGCATCTCCAGGAATTTGAAGAATTGGTTTTCCGGACTTTGTGTACCACAGAGGCAACAGATAACAGTTCTAAAAATTCTTTTAGTCGGTCTATGACCCTTCTCCTGCATTTCAAGCAGAAGTGTTGCAGCAATATCTCCCCTATTAGACTTGCTAAAACCATGAATCAAGTGAAAGTAAGTATTCCATGATGTAATTTTTGTCATTCTACTAAGTTCACCATGTATTAAATAACCATCTTCAACCCTATTTGCTTTACACAGAGCAGCAATAAACATGTCACATACAGAATAGCTAGGACGCAACTTCCGCTCCAGGGCAAAAACCAGCAGCTCCTTAATCTTGTCAAGTTTTCCCTCTCTGCACAAGGCATCTGCAAGAATAGTGAAGGTCTTTTGACCAGGGAAATAACCTTCATCGATTGAATTTCTTAACACATGGTAAGCTTCCTGAATATCTCCATTCCAACATAAGAGATTGATCAAAAAGTTATAAGCCACGCTATTAAGCGAGAGTCCAAATTCTGACCTTGAGTTATACAACTCAATGGCAACATCAGCCATCCCAGCCTTACAAAAGAAACACAAAATGGCATTCATGGCCACCTTATCAGGCAAAATCCCATCTTTCTCCATTTCAATTAACAAATCACAAACATCCTTGAGCCGGTTCTCTCTTAATAGTCTTAACACCAAAATGTTGTATCGAAACAGGCGCGGAACATTCCCATCTAATAATTTCTTGCTATCGACCAACTGCAAAGCTTCATTTAACCTTCCTTGTTGTACATGATTTTGAAGCCAGATCCCATAAGCATGCTCCGTTGGCACATTAAGTTCCGTAAACTCGTACAACAAGGTGGCGGCATGCTTGAATCTCTTACGCTTGCAAAGTGCATCCACAATAATACTCACGGCATGCCCAACAAAATGCTTCCTGCTCTCCACCAAACGACGCAAATAGGCCTCCGCCTCATCCAAGTTATTCTGCTTGCACCAGTACTTCACCAAGATGGAGTGGGTGATGTCATTCTCCAAACCCCTCAAAGAAATCTGCTTAGCTATCATGTCAACCGCGTCAAAGCAGCTCTCCTCTACAAGAGCATTCAAAAAAACGTGATATGCGAAGGCATCCAAGTCAAGACCCTGGAAGCGCATTCTGCCGAACAGCTGGAGTGCCATCCCAGGTTTCCCTGCAAGAGCATAGCCCATAACTAAAGTGTCGTGAAATCTAACCTTCTGAATGTAACTATGCGCCATAAAATCCCGCAAGAACTCAAGCATCAAAGACATGAGCTTCGCTTTCGAAAGAATCTTGAAGATGGCATAGAAGGTGGCTTGGGTGTGGTGAAATCCGGGTTGGCGGCCAGCCCAGTCGAAGAACTTGAGGCATGAAAGAACGTCTTTGGAGGAGGAGCGGCCGTAGGAGAGAACCTCCAGGACAAAGGCCTCGGAGAGGCGGAGGTTGAGGTGGGAGAGAGCAAGGTCAGCGGCATGCCTGGTAGATGCATCATCTGAGGCGGCTTGATCTTGGGAGTTTAGGACGCTGAAGATGCGATCAAGGAGAGCGGTGTTACTGGCCTTGAACCAGTTCTTGAAAGAAGACACCACGTCCTTGGCGCTTACATTGAGACGATGGGCTGATAAGGACTGGTTGAGAGATTGGGAGAGAAACAAATAAGAATAGGAGTATGAATTACCGTTTCGATTTTTCATAAGGAGAATTTGGCTGGATTTCGATACATGTTTGATTGAACTTAAAAGCATTATCGTTATCTTTTCTTCCTCTCTTTCAAAATCCACAACTCCAATTTAACCAGGCAAATACCAATTGCTCTGGTTTGGTTTTTCCAACAAGAACCGACACCAATAGCTGCGAATCACGTCAAGTAGTTAAAGCGCTTATAGGAAATAACAAACCATTTTTTATAGTCACTCCTGTAATTGGCTGCCAAAAATACAAAGCCACTTACCTAGTTAAAAACCTTGGGAAATTTTTATTTTTTATTTTTTGAAAATTTAAAATACAAATTTTTACTTGGTTTAATCTAAATTAGGTTTTAAAATTTTTTATCAAATTAATGTTTCACAATTTTTAATGCTAAAAATAGTAGCAGGATGAAAATAACTTTATTATATAAAAAGGTGAAAATATATGTTTTATGAAGTTACATATCATAATGTAAAAATTACAAGTACATTCAAATAATCTTCAATGTATATTTATGAAAAAAATTAATAAGCAAATCCAATAAAATTAATATAAAATTAAATTAAATACACATTTGGTGGGAATTAAACTCAAGATCTAAAAATATTGACCTCTACTTTTTGTGATAACAAAACATTCTACTTCGTTTGTTAACGCTCAAGTTTTGAAGGAAGGCATCTTTACAGGATGATTAGCATGGTGGAATTAGATAAATTAGAAAGGAACGAGAGTGATGCTAAGGTTAGCTGGTTAAGTGTCTTAAAGCTAAAGAACCATAAATTAGTCTACGCAAAGATCAATCGACTACTTATTGATACTACAAAAAAAATTTTATATACTAACATTTGATTATATTGATAGTCAAATTACGTCAGTATAAAATATTTTTACTGACCGATTTTTAATATCGTTAGAATATATCATATATTTATCAATACTTTATATAATTATCGGTATAGATAAATTTTTTTTTATAGTACATAACTGTTTGTCAGTATAAATATGTTATATATTGATATTTATTTATACTAACAGTCAAATTATATAAGTAAAAAATATCTATATTAACGAATTTTGTTATTGTCAGTATAGACAATGCTTATACCAACAATTTATAAAGCCATCAGTATAGGAAAACTTTTTCTGATGATATATAAATATCCGTCAATATAAATATATTATATACTGATGATTACAATAACCGTCAGTATAAGCTAAAAAAAATATTAATTCATAATATTTTCCTTTAATAAAAATTTTCAAAAACGATAATTATTAATAAATAAAATTTGTAACTTAATTAATTTTAAATGATAATAAGTTTTGAATAAAATTTGTAAGTATTATATTAATTAATAAATTTATAATTAAATATTAGACTAAAATTTTTTTAAATTTCAATATTATATTAATTTGATTTTAATTAATATTTTAGTATAGTTTCATAAAATTTTAAAATCATTTTAAATCGAAAGTCAAATTATAAATAATCTACATATATAGTAGTATTTATATTCATATAAATATTTTTTTATGTTATTTGTAAAAGTTTTTTTATAAAATAATATTTATCGTTTATTGTATTAGTAGTTTGGGATTCCAAAGTTTAAAGAAGGGAAATAAATTTTAAAAATGATCACAAGTAATTTGACAAAAAAAAAACCTTCAATTTTTTGTAAAGGAATATTCAATGTGTTTTTTGGGTAAAAAAGCCTTGAATATTCCCAAAAGAAAAAGAAAAATGTTGGGATTATTGAAGGGGTTTTTCATAAAAAATGTTTTGAATAATCCCTTTTAAATGAACAATTCGTCTATTATTGAAGGTGTTTTTGACAAAAAACGCTTTCAATAATCCACGAATTAATCAATGTATTTTTAGTTAGAAACGTTTTCAATAGCCTCATCATAAAAAATAAAAAGGAATTATTCAAAGTAATTTTGACCATAAACGCCTTAACTAACCACATTCAATTTTTTTTACGAGATCATTCAAGGCGTTTTCTCACAAAAACGCCTTGAATAATCCCAAAAAAAATGAGAAAGGATTATTGAAGGTATTTTTTTGCAAAAAACGTCTTCAATAATCCTATCATAAAAATTAAAGAGGATTATTCAAGACGTTTTGTCATTTTTTTGCCATAAACGCCTTGACTAGCCCCATTCAATTTTTTTAAGGGAATATTTAATGCATTTTCTGGCTAAAATATCTTTAATAATCCTATCATAAAAATTGAAAGGGATTATTTAAGACATTTTTTGCCATAACCGCCTTGACTAACTCATTCAATTTTTTCTAAGAGATTATTTAAGGCGTTTCATCTAAAAAATTGGAGAGGATTATTTAATGCGTTTTTGACCAAAAACACTTCAATAATCCATTCAAAAAAATTTAAGAGGATTATTCAAGGTATTTTAAGCTAAAAACGCATTCAATTTAAGCAATTTGACCTAACTAAAAAAGAGAAAATAGCCGTTACCATTTTGAAAAGTATATCTGAAAATGAATGCAAGTCAGTTGTAGGTTTATGCTCAAAAAATATTTGGTTTATATATGTGATACTACTAATTACATTTTGAAATTTACATTACAAACATTGTAATAGTTTAATAAATTACCCACACATCCGAATTTATAACTAATAACGTTGCTATATAAATATACTTTTTTCAAATAATCGTACTCAAATATGTGTATTCATATAAGCTGTCAATTGATATAAAATAAATATATACCAATAATATTAAACCAATACCCTAATTTAGAAACTTAAATTATCCATTCAACATGACATAACATTATAAAAAATAAAATGCTTATATTTACACCCAACTAACAATCTCCAACCTCAAGGTGTAGCGAATGATAATACATACCTAGCCCACTCTTTACGGACTTCATTAAGTTCATCTATCATGAAGCTTCCTTTATTCTCCCATTATAAAAGAAAATCAAAAGTAAATATTAATCAATAAGAACATAATTTAGCTTTTTTTTTGTAAAGATATTACTGTTGTATGAAATTAATACTAACATTGAATGGTGCGGTCATAAAATCACATAAAATAATCTTTTTCATAAAATGAAGGACATAATATCCACATTTAGTATATCCTGGTTGACGAGGTACCTAAAAAATAAATTTAAAGGGTTTAGAAAATATTATTCTAAACAAACTCAGCATAAAATAATAAATTTCACATTTACCAATAATGACACCTAATTTATTTTTGTTTTCTTATCAACTGCAAACATTATCCTAAATTGAACAGAAAAAAGTACTTAATACAAAAATAAAAGTAATTATGAAGAAACACAAGATAACATAATAACATGTAATACCTCTTTATAAAATTCTAAAAATTAGGGTTAGGTTTTCCCGTTGTTAGAGTGAAATTAAAAAAGTATGGTATTAATGAATTTGTATCAATCACAATAAGTTGTCAATGACGATTATAAAATGATAAGAATGATATACTTAGATTAGATATCATCTCAGATTCAAGTAAGGTTTAAATAATTATTTGTATGAATATAACTTACGCAGCATTATATGGGACTAAAAAAATAATTGGCCCGTTTTTGCAAGCAATGACCCACATGACGATCACGAAAAATAATAGTACCACTCTACTCACTAACAAAATTTGAGTCAATGAATCTGAATCTATATGTCATTTGTCTCACCTTGATCTTTCTATATAGAGAGCTTTACGATAACAATCAATAATATTAGTTAGTAATACACCACAATATAGATTAATACATATTGACTTTGCATATTTAAATTTATAAGCAAACCTCATATAGACAACAATATTAGCAGTTGATATTTCATCTAAGGTATAAAATTCCTTAATCTTAGTCTCCCTACGGTAAATAATTGGTGGATGATCAAATAACCTATTCTTGGACTCAATGGTAATGCAGTTTCTTCTAGATAAATGATCAAGTACATAATTAGATAATACATCAATGACAGCCTGAGCAAAGGTCATCCTTTAAGTCCCAATGTCATACTACAATATATAATGAAATATAAGTATTAAAACCAAATCAATCAATATAATAAATAAATAAATATTAAGTGAATAAACAAAATCATACTTCATGGCTAATACCGGAGATTGGGTTTTCTGCCTGACTTACAACAAAAGCTTGTCCTAGCTGGATGATGCTATTCGACTGGCCTACAGGCATGCTAGGCTACATTGCTGCCAACATCACCTTCAAAGCTGCAAGTCATTGCTGTTGATCATTTAAGCATTGCTCTTGGTCGTCAAGTCTTTGCTATTGTTGCTTAATGATTGCTTCATATTGTTCATTCATCATTTGAGTGGTTTTAGGTTGATTATTGAAAAACTTTAATGGCAACACAATCTACCAACCCCATGAACTATATCTTTCTTTTGCTCCTAATGCTAAAAACAAGGGATTTTTACCATATTGGGTTGCTAGTTCACCGAATTTAATTTTAGTAGCAAAATCATCTTAAAAGACAATAATAAGATGGGCTATAATAATAAATCTATACAAATATAGAGTCATACATACAAGCGTAAAGCCAATCATACGTGATATAATGAGTAGTTATACATACAATTTTTTTAGCCATTTCTTCGTTTGCTTTATCTGTAAATGATCCATCTTTTCGCATATGTCCTTATTTTCACATATCCCATCTAGAAACTTTAGTGCCAGAGCTAGATGATTTCTAATAAATTAGCGCGATATCAAAATCAAAATCTAATAAATGAATGTTTAGAAATATTCATTTATAAGTATAAAACAAGTGTGTGAATACTTACAAACTCATACTTGATATTTGCATAACTCTTTCTTGATTTTCGATGGTGATATACTTGTTTGGCCCAAATATTCTTTTGTTGTTCTTTGATTTACTATAAAAGAAAGAAATTACATAAATCACATATTAAGATATTGAATATATTACATAAAATCTTATAAACAATTTTTTGTAATGAGTATGCGTATCGAGAATTCTTCTGATAACTGATCTCAAACAAAATTCATCCAATCTTGATAATTTATAACATCTGCATATGACAGAAGTGGAATAGCTAAAACATCATCATGATCAGCAAAAGGTAAAATATATTAGGTTATTAATCTGCTTTTAAAGTCTCTGAATACTTTTCTAGCTGATTGCAACACAAGCTTTTTACACTCAATTGGGATATCAAACCGTTCCTAATAAATTTAACACAATTAGTATGAACATATTGAATTTTA